CCTGATTTCTCGAAAACTGGAAGTGCTACGTTACTCAAATCCGGTTTGTAGTCTTATCAGACTATTCTTAACTTATAACTTAAATATTCTCTTTATCTATCTCTTACGGTTTGGCCGCTGAAACAGCACCACAGACAGACGGACGGACTTGTCAAATAGATAAGAGATTCTAGAACTTACGAAAAAAATCGCCAGTTAAGATCTTCGCGATAACATTAAATTAAAATAACGCTATTAACTTTCACAGGCATTATTAATTAAGTGAAGTCTCTGGGAGAAGATGTTTGACACGACACCGGGAATTATAATAATAAAAACAGATATAACCTATGTAGTAGCTGTTTCAATTAAATTACCTACATCAACAGAACTAATATTTCACCATTGAACAACACAAGGTACTCGAAGACACTAATATAACCATCATTATCACTAAGCAAATGCTCCTACACTGTATTCAAATTTAATTAGAGAGACGTAACTCTTCGCTAGAACTTTATCAAGCAAGACGTCGAATAAGGGATTTTCATAACGTCAAGATCACGAATACACTTACAACTACAATGATGTCACATACTACAAACACTTCAACCAAATATAAATAAAGATAACAGTCGGGAATTAACTTATTATTTATTAAACATATTTGTGTGTGGGTATTTTTTAATTGCACACTGATAAAGCCGGAGTATATATAGGTATTCGCAAAGTTGCAGTTAACTTTAAATCGTAAAGGTTAAATTATTTTGATAACATCGGGCCAAACATAAAGTGAGACAAAATTATTAACATTTAGCATACATTCCTATCGTGACATCTGATTTGACTAGTCAAATTCACGTCTAGAAAGATGCGCAGTATCTGATCACGGTGCAGTTCTGACATAGTTTTTCGCGCAGATGAGATAACTGCTTCTAAATTTCAAAACCTTTATAAGACCAACCACTTTCAGAACGCGATACCGAAATTGTAGTCCTAACTAGATTTACAGTTCGCTATTGAAACCACACAAATACACAATCTTTAATACGCTGCGTCTGATTATCGCGTGCTGACTGCTTGATATTGCGTACTACTGTATTAGGTAAACGGTTTTTAAAGATATCAATTTCAACTAACAGGATATAGGTACTCAGACTTTAGAAGTGCATCCACCCCGTTTCTAAGTGGACTGTGCAATGAATGGGCAGTTCAATACAGTAATTTCAACCCAAAATTACTAAGTCAAACATTTACAGCTAACTGGTTTTCAGAAAACCATTCTGTAGAAGCCACACTCTGGATGACCGAGAGCTTCGTCCTTAAAGTATCAGATTCCAGCAGCAATAGTAGATCTGCGCTTAATCATAATCAATCAACCTTAAACTAGTATAATATACATTCAAAGAACTCACTAATGACTGAAGGCTTTGTCATAGTATCAGGCTGGTCTAAGCCGAGCAATTCCTGATTTCTAGCCGCGAATCTCCGCAGTAGTTCCAGTAGCGGCGGGTCTCTTCTGCGAGAGCACGCGCCCGCCTCTTCGTCTTCACCACCCAAGCAGTGCCTGATGCCGTCGCACACCAAGTACGAAGAAACGCAGAGACTGGTCACGCCGCATATGAACTGCGAATCGTTCTTACAGTCCACACCTGGAACAAATTAAAGGTATTAGTGACGTAAGGATACGTGTCTTACTGAAGTAAAGTCATCTAGTCTACAGCTGGAGAGAGTCAGGGTACCGAGGCGCATACTTCTGGCGGCTTATGTTTCCTTATCATCATTTGAGACTTATTTAAAGGAATACACCATTTTAATAATAGTTTCATACAGTTTCTCATGACAATTCGTCTCCGCAGCTCCCCAACTCTTCGAGGAAAATAGCGAATGGGCTTTTCAAAAGAGTGCTATGATGACTTTGACTTCTGCTCAGGACAGGAGGAACATTCGCTAGATCCGGATCGGCAACTCGCTAAAAACAAGGTACATGGTAACAATTCCGTAAATAACATAAATTAATATAGAGTAAGTGTTAGTAAGTCTAAAGTGAGGAAGGAGATAAAACTAAATCACTCACCACTATTAACGGCAGTGACGACGAGGCGGAGTTTCTCCGTGTGATGGTAGAGGGTCGTAGGCGGGTTCCATACGATCCTGATCTTCGGAGGCAGCAGCTTGGGGCCGGCCCTCGCTGCTATGCTTGCCGCGTTGCCACCGCATAATGACATGCGCCATATTGGGTTTTTGGCATCGCCAATGTACTGTAGAATAGAACAATAAAATAATATAAGCATCACAGATTATTCTAAGCAAACTAAAACGCTTTTGACAATCGAAAACAGGAATGCTTGTTGTATGCATGAACCCAACCAGGAATCATAGCTTAGAGATGACCATTACTCCAGGTCCTATAGTCTAATAGTCTATTTATGAATGTCATCGAAAACGCAATGTGAAAATATCTATAGAATGGGATATTGTCTTTATAATAAAATCTAAACATTAATCTCATGGTAGTACACCACTTACCTATAAGACCACAAGCACCAAACACTCGAACATATAAAAATATATTAATTACCAAAATTTTACTTTCGACTTCTTTCACCCTCGTCGCACCGAGTCAGAAACCTGATTGAGTCAACGCTGGCTTCACAGCGATTGATTAAATGACCTAATTCGCACCTAGGCGGCTTGGGGTTGTTCAACATAGTTTTGGTCTAACATGGCTTTTAAACACAACAGTATTAAGGTTAAAATTGGGGTCATTCTCTATCGTACCAACAGTTTTATCGTGTTAACTGTCAATACAGACAGTTTTCATGGGCTCGAAAGACTAACAATGTTCGACTTTGCCTTGTTTTGTATATGGAATTACGTCACTTATACTAAAATCATCTTCCCAGGTCTTGTTAAGAAAAATTTAAAGTCACTGGTCTAATGAAAGACGCCGTCGCTACAAAGACTGAGATGGTGTGTGATGCCTCAAATGATGCCAAGTTCATTTGGTTTGACCCCAATTAAAACGCACAGTGGGAAACTCAATAAGCGCTGCAATTTTAATGTGTGTATTCTGTTCCTTCTCATTACGACATCCAATATGCCTGGAAGCATTTGGATAGGGAGAGCGTACGTAGAACTTTCAACGAACAAATCGGTAAATTCTAAATCAGGACTAATATAATAGGCAACAGTGATCGATAAATGTTGAGAAAGTGGAGATCAATGCTTTGCTCTGAATATGTAAATATTATCCTCAAACACCTTTTAGATTCCTCAAAAATCTGTAGGTTCGACACTTAGAAGTTTTATATATATACTATAATTAGCTAGGTACAGCGTCGCAATTTTATTGCAATCTCTGTATGTGAATGTGGTCTACGGTACTAAAGCCTTTTCGGAACCTGACATGTTCGGGGATTGTAAGTCGTCAAAGCTGAGTGCGAGATGATTCTTAATGACGCTGGAAACACCTTATATACATGGGTCAGAATTGAGATTGGTAAGTAGTTCCTCAAGAGAATATTGCCATCCTTTTTGAAGAATAGGACAATCTCAATTATGTTCCATGATTTTGGTGTGCAGCCTGATCAAAACACTTCTGAAGGACTTTGAGTATCGAATTATTAGAGTACCGCCGAGAGTGCGACGGATTACGCCAATCGGTAGGTCCAAACACGAACTACAGGAAACCGTTAGCGCACGTGATAGTTAAATAGAGATAATAGAATTTTAGTTTTTTACTTAGTCCCGAAAGTACCAGGACGAGGTTTTGAGTCCCGGGTATTTTAGTCATCACAGAATCCCGGGATTTTCGGGACCGGGATTTGCCAGGACTATATCCTTGTTGAGTGGCGCGGCTTGTTCTGTGGTAGCGTTATGGCCGAGCGCTTATTGTATGTTGAAGTTACATTTCAATTTTCAATTGATGAGGAAGGTTCTTACGTCCGTGGCGGTGTCTTGCGCGTGCGTCTACTATAATACTATGTTAAAATAAGAAGGTTTTATTCGATGAGTACTTTGCAGGCGTCTCTGCTGTTTTTGAGCGGCGCGGCTTGGGCTGTGGCGGTGTCTTGCGCGTGCGTCTACTATAATACTATGTTAAAATAAGAAGGTTCTTACGATGAGCAGTTTGCAGGCGTCGCTGCTGTTGTTGAGCGGTGCGGCTTAGTCCGTGGCGGTGTCTTGCGCGTGCGTCTACTATCATAGTATGTTAAAATAAGAAGGTTTTTACGATGAGCAGTTTGCAGGCGTCGCTGCTGTTTTTGAGCGGCGCGGCTTGGGCTGTGGCGGTGTCTTGCGCGTGCGTCTACTATAATACTATGTTAAAATAAGAAGGTTTTTTCGATGAGTACTTTGCAGGCGTCGCTGCTGTTGTTGAGCGGCGCGGCTTGGGCTGTGGCGGTGTCTTGCGCGTGAGTCTACTATAATACTATGTTAAAATAAGAAGGTTTTATTCGATGAGTACTTTGCAGGCGTCGCTGCTGTTGTTGAGCGGCGCGGCTTGGGCTGTGGCGGTGTCTTGCGCGTGCGTCTCCTCTAATAGTATGTTAAAATGAGAAGGTTCTTACGATGAGCAGTTTGCAGGCGTCGCTGCTGTTGTTGAGCGGCGCGTCTTGGGCTGTGGCGGTGTCTTGCGCGTGCGTCTAATAATATTTTGAAGAAAGAAGGTTCTTACGATGAGCAGTTTGCAGGCGTCGCTGCTGTTGTTAAGTGGCGCAGCTTGGACTGTGGCGGTGTCCAGGCCGTGCGCCTAACTGTATGTTGAAGTTGCATTTCAATAGATGAGGAAGCTTCTTAGAATGAGTAGTTTGCAGGCGTCGCTGCTGTCATTGAGCGGCGCGGCCTAGTCCGTGGTGGTGTCTTGCGCGTGAGTCTACTGTAATAGTGTGTTAAAATAAGAAGGTTCTTACGATGAGCAGTTTGCAGGCGTCGCTGCTGTTGTTGAGCGGCGCGTCTTGGGCTGTGGCGGTGTCTTTCGCGTGCGTCTCCTCTAAGAGTATCTTAATATGAGAAGGTTCTTACGATGAGGAGTTTACAGGCATCGCTGCTGTTATTGAGCGGCGCGTATAGGGCTGTGGCGGTGTCTTGCGCATGCGTCTAATAATATTTTGAAGAAAGAAGGTTCTTACGATGAGCAGTTTGCAGGCGTCGCTGCTGTTGTTAAGCGGCGCAGCTTGGTCCGTGGCGGTGTTTTGCGCGTGCGCCGCCGTCCGAGCGCTCCACTTGCGGCCCGGCGCGCCCGCCATCGGCGCGGGCGCCTGCACGTCGCCGAAACCACGCTCCCATTCCGAGAGGGACTCCTGGAAGTAACGGAAAAGGGTATTCGTTATTTTGTTTTTAGCCCTATATCGCCAGCCATTTGTTTAGCAAAATTTACATGCATGTTTTTTGTTCTGAATTCGACAGCGGCGAGGCGTCGAGACTCAACCGAATCTCGTTTCACTTCGCTTATTTCATTTTACTAGTACAGCTGAGCGAGCCGATGGGTCCCTGTACGACTTGGATTGTAAGAGGCAGGCATGAAACAATGAAGTTTGTTCGACTGCGCTTGGAAGCTGAATAAGTCATTGTGAAACAAAAATTAATTAGATTTAAGCCTAGATTAAATCTCAGAATGTAGGTAACAAATAGGAATTTTTCGAATTCGAAAAGCTGCTAATTTCCGTATCGATGCCTCTAGAATTCTATAAGTATATGCTTTTTGCTGTACAATAAAAATAATTATATTTTATATTGGCTTCTTGCCACAAATCACAGCCAAGGACCGACCGCCCGACCATGAACTCCACTACCATTTACTAGAGCGAACATGCTTGATGTTAATTCGCATCCTGTTTAAAACACTGCTTTTGAATCACGTTCAACAATGAAGCATGTATTAAAAGTATTATTGATTTATATTCTCTTCGCAAACTATATTCTATCTAAGGATCTGACTGGTAGGTGCATTAAACAGGAGCTTTATAAGATAGCAATAGCTTCGAGAAATATTTAAAACTAGTGGCCCGCCCTCGCTTGGCTTCGGTGTAGAGCTGTAGTGTAGGTAGACTATAAGTTTTTGTTCTCAGGTTTGTATAATACACTAGAATTTCTTTATATCATCATCATCATCAACCCATGTTCGTCCACTGACGGACATAGGTCTCCCCTAATGCACGCCACTGCTCCCGATTTTGTGCTACTCTCATCCAGCCCACTCCAGCCAGCCTAAGAATATCATCATCCCATCTTTTCTCAGGGCGTCCTTCACTACGTTTACCGAGTCGTGGTCTCCACTCAAGAACTTTCCGGCTCCAACGGCCATCAGTTCTGCGGCTAATGTGACCAGCCCACTGCTACTTCAGTTTGCTAATTATTATTAATATTATTAATATTTTTGCTAATAATTATTTCTTTATATAATTATATTAAACTTCCATGAAAATTTATTTAACTGATAGTGAATTTTGTTGCGTACTTTAGGACCCGTTGTACCGAATGTACCATTTTTTTGTTTGAACGCGCAAATCTCAGGAACTAATGTTCCGATTTGAAAAAAAAAAATGTTTGTGGTAGATAGTGCATTTATTGAGGAAGGCTAAGGCATTATGACATCACGCTGCGACCAGTAGGAGCGGATCATCGATGTAAAATGTTGCAAAACGGGAAACAATATTCCATTTGTGAGCTTCCGTTGCGTGCGCTTCGTAAATGATTAAAGTTTTTTTTAACACACCAATTAGCCTAGCCCCAAAGTAAGCACTGTAGGCTTGTGTTATGGGACGCTAGGGTAACGGTTAGAATACATATACACATATAAGTATATTTATATAGAAATTCATATTAAACATCCTCGACTCGAGTACAAATGCTTGTATTCATCACACAAACATCTGCCCCCCACCGGGATCTCTAGAGTAGGCGACATTTTGAAACCCGGCGTACAAACCACTCGGCCACGGAGGTCGTCAGGGAGTTCAACAAAAATCATGTATGGTAAAAGTTCTATAAAAAAGTCAGCGACAGCATCTTTTATGTTTGGCTCACTATGACCTTTTTTCTCAAATTAACGCGGGTGAAACCGCAGGGGACTTTTAGTTGTGACATAACTGTAATATTTAGATATATGGTATCGTGGACTTTTTTGTAGATATTGTTGTCCTCTATAAAACTTTAGTACATCACTTTGCTCTGTCAATGACTTCCGCAGCGTAAGCGATATAAGGTTAATTTTTGATATTTTTTTTCACACTTTTTAGGATTACGTTTGAAAAGTGCAATAACGTACTGGGTTACGTACTGAACCCTAACTTTTTTGAAAATACATTATATCCTTTCTTCATCAGGGATCATCATTCTAAGCGTGAAAGAATTTTTCAAATCGGTCTAATAGTTTCGAAGCCTATACAATACAAACAAACAATCAAATCTTTCGTCTTTATAATATTAAGTATAGATGAATCGTCATGGTTGACGTCTAGCTATCGCCCGAAATACTACTTACAGCTCTCTCGCTGCTCAATAAGTCTGCAGCCTCCTCAAATAGCTCCTAAAACCTAACCTAACCTATGTTTTAAAGTTAACAGGCTTGGCTCGGTTATTATACAATGACAGTTAACAGAACGAATAAATTCAAGTACCTGTATATTTTGTTGGATAAATGTTTTTTAATGTTCATCATCGTCATTCCGGAGCACGGAGGAATTAGAGATAGTAAATTTCTGGTCACCCATCCAATGACCGACCACTCGAAAGTTGCTTAACTTAACGATCGCAGCCGAACGCGCTATCCACTTGCGCCATCGAGCTCCTCATGTTGTTTTTAATGTTACATTATTTTATAAATGAACGAACTTATTATCCATAAACAAATACCTATCTTTATTAAGAATCAGATGCTTTTCAACGCAAGAGTTTCGTGTAAACATCGAATGAATGACAATTAATTCGTTATAGTATTAATTCTTTGTGATTTATTGAAAACATTAACGATGTATATCACGTGAAAACATCTTTTGTTAAAATCACGTGAACTTACGGTAATTACCTAGTTTTATGACAATTGGGAACTTAGCGATTGTCACTTCGTCGTTATTTTCATGTAACTGTGACTAATTGTTGTCAAAAGTTAAACGAAATATACATTAAAATGCCATTTAAGTGTCTGAAGAATTATCTCAATGTATATGTCTCGTCACCAAGATCCATGTGATAGATAAGGATGTTTATCAACTGAAACTAAGGCCTTATTAAGCAACTTCCAGGTGAAAAGGCAACATGTAGAAAATTCGTATACAGAACCCCATAGAAAATTAGTCTTGCTATCAATTTGTGTCACATTTGTTTTTGTTTATTTCCCAAATAATGACAATGCAATGAATAGGTGTTTTGACATTCCATCATCAGTCGTATAACACCTACTGCTGAACATAAGATAAAAACCCTCCCAGCACAAATACAAGTTTATATAACTCATCATAATATTGTAGAAAAAAAAACAAAACAACATCTACACACACATATTATAACTTTTCTCATTTCTACTCTCGGGCTGGACAAAGGATCAAGGGCTTACCCATTAACAAATAAAATAAAACTTTATCCAGATCTTGATAATCATACCTTCCCTTTTTTATAGATAGGTCCGAAAAATTACTCCACCCCACTGTGTTAAGTGAAGGTGAAGTCCAGACGTGAAGATAGCTGATACAGCAGTTTTACCTGCCACACCAGCCATCCTCACCCTGCCGGCCTGCATGTTGCTTCTTCACGCCTCTTTTAAAGGATCCCAGGTTGTAAGAGGGAGGGAACACGTGAGCGGGCAAAGCATTCCACCTCCACGGCTGCTAGTCAACAAACATCTTAATCAACGTTCACCAAATTAATGTAACTTGTTAATATTTATGTAACAAGATCCATATCTGGAGGGGCATTCCGGGTTCTCCATATAAAGTTAGCGAAACGTGTATTAAATAATTAAATTTGAAATCTGAATCAACTAGGTAGTAGGTAGCACCCGACGACCTTGCAAAGTCACATTTGGAATTATTCAATATATTTATTAGCTTATCGAAGTGTAAGCAAAACATATTGACATACAAAATGTTTAACATATTCTTCATGCAAATATTATGCATTAAAGAAATACGAATACATACATAGAAGTACCTACCTGCTTCCTTTAAATATTTAAGTAGCTGCAGATTGTGAACAGAACTCTTTATAAGTTGTGTACAAAAAATATTTTGGTGCAGGAGTTAGAATCCGTTGTTTAACATACAAAATTAAGCAGTCACCTTTATCTCAGAATGAAACGTGGTCACATTTGATTACATTTAAACATTTTTTTATGTAACGTACGTATAATATTCTGTAGTTACAATAATATACCTAGCAAGACTGTCCACTAGGTACTAAGTGAAGAAGAAGAAATTATTATTTAACGAAATATTAATTAACTAACAAGAACACCATTTTGTCTGCTTATAGTAGTTTGTAATTTTACAAATGAATTCGCTTCTCTTTGTCACACTAACAGAAATGATGATAAAATAAAAACGCCGGAAATCCAAAACCGTACAACGATTTGGTATGCCAAACACTCCGTATGCGCGATACGTTAAAAACTAAGATTTGCGATTCAAAAAGATTTGTATGTAAATGCGAAACATCGTTTACGGTCGACGATCTTTTGTTGGGATTGGAATAATCGTATTCTATTCAAGTTAGATTAAATATATTAAATATCATTATAACTCAGTCATCTAAATTGTGAAAATTCTGTTATACGTACTTTTCAGTTTCTGTTACGAAATATACTCATCAACAGAGCAACACGAACTTTTTGAAGTGAAAACTTCTTTAGCACCGTGGTGATTTGAGATTCGATGAAACGGAAGTAGAGCACACATATCTGAACTGAAACTTCTTTTCTTAAATAACCTAACATTAGGGGGTGCATAAGGCATAGCGGAATGGAGCAGCGCACGCATCACTCATATAAATTTATATATTTTCGCGTGTGACGCGTAGCGTTTCAGCCTTCGCCGAGTTACCCTCCAACTTTCATGCTTGTCGGGCACATAAAGCTCTATGGATCCCTTTAAAGAAAGTACTATTTCCAACTTGGGTGTATTAAGGCTCTTGGCTGCGCCTCGGGCCTAAATTATCTTTTTAGGCCTCAAATAAATAAGGCGGTTGGTAATCGGTCACTTTCTCCTCTTGGTGAACAATGTACTGTTCAATTTTCATTTTGTTCTTGTCTTGTCTTTCTCACTGGACTCAAATTCAGACTAAGTTATACCTACAAATGATATGGATC